CTTTCCATGAGAAGAAGCTCCACGGGGACAAGTAGAATCATAGGTATGGGAGTCCCTGAACATCAGCACTATCCTCTCCACAAGGGAGTGTGAAGCTGGAGTAACAGCACTTACAGTTCAGTTCATCCATAGCTAATGGCACTGGTCCCCACCCAGCTCTATACCTCACACTGTAGGCCTAACTGAAGATGAGCAGTTAGCTAGAGCCAGAACTAGAGTCCCGATAAGCTAAACAAAACTGTTTTATTAGTCCAGGCTTGAATACTGATTGCGAGCCAGAATCTCACACTTCCGCTCGAAGACAATTCCACAGCTGCGGAGCTCTGTAAAATAACACTCTGCAACCTGGCATAGTCCTTTCTACTCGTCACTAATAGATATCCTTGAGATCCTTCTTCCTTTATATTGAAACAGGCCAGGGGATTCGGAAGAGATCTCAAAGATATTCTGGTGCAAGGCTATTCAGTGCTTTATAACTTAATAGCAATGTTTTGTAATCAATCCAAAACTTATCTGGAATCCAGTGAAGGGAGTATAGAACAGAGCTAATATGATCAAATTTTTCAGTTTTTATAAGGATCCAGATGGACAACTAGAAAGGAGGGCATAGTCCAGCATGGACGTATAAGGACATGTATTAGTTTTTCTGCATCATGGAAGGAGAGCATACTCTGAAGCTTGGCTATATTCTGTAGATGGTAGAGTGCAGTTATAGTAAAACCACTTATGTGAACATAGATCTGAATCAACTAGGATACCAAGATCTCTCACCATTGTGCTAAGCTGAGTATGAAGACAAAGTTGAGGCTGTCAACCTTTTTGAGCAGCATTAAGACCAACTACCAAGGTTTTCTGTTTAACATAAGGAATTTTTTTAGCAATGCATCACCGGATGCCTAGCAAAGAGTCTTCTAACAAAGAGAGCTGGGATGTGTGTGCGTGCATGTGTGTGTGTGTGTATAAATATATAAATTTTGCGGGATTGGAAGATTCATTGTTCACATTAACAAATTGATAATGATCAATTACATAGGAGAGAAACCGAGACAGAGCTGTCCTCTTAATGCCAACCACACATTCTAGCCAATCCAAGAGAATATTAGGAAGACAAAAGAAATTCACAAAAAATCCAAGGCAGATGCTATTCAAAAATAAATGCTTTTTGGGCCATAAATCTGAAGGATGTTTGCTGGTTTAATCCATCACCAAGCTTCTGGTGACTAAGAGACATTTATAAATTCTGCGCCAGTGGCTAGCAAAGACTAAAGATATCACATATTTGTGCATGTAAGATAATGGCTTTGGGAATAGAGACACATCCTCTGGACACGCAGCACCAAACATTTCAGACAGCAGAATGTGAAAGGAAGGGAGGATGCTGTAAAAACCTGTCACTGATCACCATGAAAGCCCCTTTTCTTTCTCTTGTTTAATTTGAAACATCCAAGAAATAAACATTGATTCATATTTCAATGGCTTTCTACACAGGATTCTGGAGTAGGAATACTTCTTTGGACCAAGGCAGTACGTGGTTTCAGAGCTCTCTTGGGATTCGACAGGAACCCACTGGAGTTGCTGATCCCCATCCAGACATCATACACCAGTGAATTTATGGGATATCATCAGCAGCTTCCTCATTAGCTATAAAAGCGGGTACGTGTGCTACTTTTTAGATAGTGTAAGCTTGGGCTAAATACCTCCATTCAAAAGTTTCATTACTGAAGTCAATAATATTGTGTATATTTAAATATTTAGTATTTACTTTCTATGCAGGGAAATTCAAACTTTTTTTTTTATTTTAGGTTTTGCTTTTTAAAATAATCTTTTCATATAAAACACAAGCTGCTAATTAACACTCCAACCTGATACCCTGAAAGATCTTGCATGTCATTTTCAAAATGACAAGCATTTCATGCTCGGATTGTGATGTGAAATGAAGTTTCGATTCAAAGTTTCATCCCCTTTTTCCTTCTCAAAGACGGCCCAGGGGTTGGCAGTCCTTCCCGATGACGAAATCTCATGGGGCTTAACGAGCAGGGTGTATACGGCAGCATCTGTCCGCCAGTCACGGCTGCCTGCGTCATGACGGAATTGCTCCGTACTCCTCTGGATGCTAATGAAGCTGAATAGTACTGGTGGAAACTGTTCCTCAGCTTGGGCTAGGAAAGAGGGATGAGTACAGCCACATGGACTCCCTGCTGGGCCCAAACAACAGAGAGCAAACATTAATCGAGCCATACAGCCAACGCTACGGTTTCTTTTAAGGGCATTCAATGATTAATTAGGAAGCGCTATTAACAATTGATATGATTAATGGGGTCATTAATTTCTGAACATCTCTGCATTGAGTCTCTCTTCTATTGGGAAAAGGGTCCACTAAGTTCCTCTGTCAGGCCTTACACCGGTGTGAATAAAACGTGTTTTATGAGCTTATCAACGGGCACGGCAGTTGGACCATTGTGTTAATACCTCACTGCTTGTAATGCAGCACAGAGCTGATTGCTGTTGCTTCCCTAAATCACAGAGGAGAGCTCTGAAGCTCCATAGAGGCGACCCAGAGAAGCAGAGATGCAAGCCTGGGGGGATGAGGGGTGAGGAAAAGGCCACGGTCACTTACACAGTTACCATGAAAGTCTATGGTATCGCTCCAATACCAGCTCCTGGTCCAGGCAGCACGTCCCCAAGCCAGCCTAGACATACTGCGGCACCCCCATATTCTCCTGTTTGAACCATTCATTTTTCCAGCCCTACATTTACTTCCTCTCTAAAGGCATCATTTTTTAAAAGAGCGATAGTTAAGAAGCACACTGCCATCAAACCCTTTGGAGATTTACCTGCTAACCCATAAACTGTTCCCAGAGCATATTCAATTCCGTATAAAAGCAAAGGCTTTCAATTTGTCCTTGGTATACAATTAATGGATTCAGCCAACAGTTTTAACCCAAGAGAGAAGATGAAAACCTTATATATCACAGCTAGACATTTACCAAAGCAGTTCAGTTTAACGTAACAGCTTCTGTGAACTGGCCCCAGCACTAGTTATGAGCCAAGATCTTTAAAAACTGTGTTACCTCTGGTAACTTTATAATCTCCAGCAAGCGTGACAGTGAGCATACATAAACGAGGGGACACAGAACAGACACAAAATGAAACACAAAGCACTAAGGTATCAAAGACGAAAAAGAATATATATTAAATGGAATACATAAAGGTAATTTCTTAAGCAGTATTACTGAATAACTCAATTGTGACTCAAGTGTCGCGGTAAAACAGAGACAGATATGCATTCGTTATGGTGGGAGCCCTGCTTTTGGGGACACCATTTATAATATAGACATGGAAACAAATGCATCTCAGTGACCAGCAACAATCTGTTTTGCCTGTGAAACATTCTTCTTCCTCTTATCTAATTTACAAGGAGATTGTGTAAAGCCTGTGGGTATAAAGGAAGTGCCACAAAACATTTCAGTGAAATAAAAAGACTGAACTCAATCATATTGGCTTGACAAGCTCCAGGCTCACTGGGGTGAGTGGATAGAGAGGTAAGGCCACAGATTTCCGACTTTCCCCTTAAGTGTCTGTGCTGTTTTCTAGGTACACGTGGTATACAACAACAACAACAACAACAACAACAACAACAAAAAACTCACCTATGCCATTCTATATGAAAAGCCCTTCTGGGGGGGGGGGGGGTTGACTCATCCCAAAACAGCCGAATAAAGTCAGGCAGTAAATTCACAAAGCTTACCTTCCTTTACAACAGTTTTGCATCAGACTGCAATGTAGGGCTCTGTTTACAGAAATCCACTAATGAGCAGCAGACCATTTATCAGGGATTCAAGGACACAAAGGGTGGCTATACCAGGGCACTGAGGGGTCACTTTTCATAGATTAGTTTTAGAGTTGCAATATGGACGCCAACGAGTGTTTACATTGCCCAGTGAATCAACACCCTTTTAGCAACTGTGGGAGAAAAAAAACTACTAAATTAATGCAAATGGTCATGTGTCCCAGTTACAATGTTTCACTGATCAGAGAGACCTAATTTGGAAGACCATGTTAACCCAGGCTGGAATTTGGATGTTTGTGTTGCCATGGCAAGTGATGACAAGGGCTTCATTTCCCTAAAGGTCCTGTTAGCAACTTACATAGCTGGAACTGTTCGGTTGCATGGTTCCAACTTACCCCAGACCCGAGCTTACGGGTAACCCTGACTAGCTAATCAGACAGGGTAGGTAGTCCTCCCAACACCAGAAGCTGTAAACTTATATCATTTGCTTATCAGTCTCTTAAAAATACTTGCCTTGATTCAACTATCCAGCTCTATAAACTGAAGAATTACATTTCCTTCTTAATATTATTATTGTTAAAAATAACAAAAATTGAGGACAGGCCCATGGCACATGGAGCATATTCAAACAATATCAATAATGTAAAATCTGTTCAAAATTTTAATAAAGCAAAATATTTAACTAGACAGCATTACAACATTTGGGAAATGTAAGCCTTTATGTAAAGCGTCATAAGCAAGGAAAAACACAAATAAAAATTATGGCTGCCTTCAGTCTTTTAAACATGAAACAAAGAAAATTTAAAACACATTCTGAAAACAAATAGTGTTTTAACAGAACACTGGTGTTGGGTTCAGAAGTATAACAGTGTGAGTGATGTGAGCTTTGGGGCCGATGCGGGAGGTGTGGGTTCAGCATTAGGGACGCCTGTGTATTCCTGTTGGTCCCGACCCATCACTCAGGCCTCTGGTCTTGGCATGCCTTTTAAAAATGGCTGCCACAGATAGTCAGTCATTTCCACATATTTACAAGGCTTTAGTCCACGATAGACTTTAGCGGCCATGGACGGCGGGTCTGGACCTATCAGCAAATGACAGGGGCCATCAACACCGAATCACCATCACTCCCTCGCTCCATGCAGGAATCCGCTTCTGGGTCACATGGGATCTGGAAGCCTCCATTAAAGTAATAAAACACTGCATTCCCTACCTTATGACAGGCAATTCCATATGAGGAGTGCACAAAAATCCAAGGTATTCTGTAAGGAATCAGAAACAGATGTTATTATGATATTGATTTACTGGGCAAATGACCTTTATATTGGAGTGATTTACAAAGCGTACAATAAAACAAGAACATGGAGCAAAACAATCAATACAGGCAGCAAACTGAAAATAAACAGAACCGTAATTTAATCACAAATTCCCACATAATTTAATACTCCCAAGAGAAAAACACACATCTTCAGGTCAAACCTCAGCAAATGCAAGAACCAGAAAGAACCAGTAAGTCTCAGAGCATCACTCTACTATAAAAACAACAAAAAAAGACATTTTACTTCAAAGGGATGCTAGCAGCATCACACAGAGAGAGATACACACCACAAGCCTGAATCTAATTGCACATCATTCCATGAATGCAGGTACGGCTGAAGATATGTGCCCAGATATGTGCTACGTCAAACAAGACAACTTGGCGGAAAATTACCGCATGGATTGAACACAGGCAGCTGTGCGATAAAGCTGGGGTTTCAGAGGATTCTCTCTGTTTTAGGAGTTATGACATGAACAGTAAAGGTCCACAGCGAGCACAGCGAACACAGCGAGTACAGCAAGCCCCATTAAGATGATTCTAAGATGTCTATATCCAGGTATACAGGTACGTAAAAATGTCAGAAGATTGTTTCAGTGATTATACTTAACATTTCTACAGGTGTCTTTTGGATCTTCAGATCTCCTACCATATTCAGAAAAAGAACTTAAATAAAAGGTAAATTATTTATGGACAGGGAGGCCATTCCCTTTAACTCACTATAAATTATAAAAGTAAAAAAAAAAATGCTGATTGCAGCCCTTTAATGAAATGTAAAAAAAAAGCACCCACAGCTATTATTTGACTTAAGTAATGTGAGAGGCAGAGGGTTGGACAAAGGAGAGGGATGAAAAGGAGACCCACTGTTTCTGACCTGGTTTGGGAGGGGCCACAGCTCCCGATGTATTTTGGGGGTGGGGGAGATTCGCCAGCGCGATACGGTTAAGCCTGTTAGCTTCCTTCACAGCTATAAAAACCTCAAGCGTACTAGATAACCTAATGTGACTTCCATTAGCAGGCATTACGGGCTGTGGGGCCGAAGCGGATCAAGCTCAAATTGAAAGTGTCCATGCATGACCGTCGGCTGGCTCTGCGGGCCTCCCAAGCCAGGATCCAGGACTCCCCTTGGCCCAGACCCTGTTAGTGTCCAAAACAGCTTCTCTCCTAAGCTGAACATGGGCTGATTAATGCAATGTGAAAACATAAAAGTGTATGATCGCGCAACAATGTCACAGTTTGTGCACAGCGTCCCATTTCTTAGTCATGATGCCTTAAAAAAAAAATGCATATGAAAAGCAGATAATTATTCAAGGACAGATCCCCCCCCCTACCCCCCAAGCAATTTTAGCCTTGTTAGACTATTCTGCTGTAGAATGACCTTCACATAACATTACATAACCCTATTTGTTCAGTCTTCCTCTGGAAAAAGGCCACAAAACCCAAAGCAATTTAAATAACTAAAAGGCTTATTTGAGTTTTTACAAAAGCGGCTTTGCTCCACACTACAGCGAGTTCCCCCATCTTAGTGGTGACCCACGTCCAGCTAGTTACCCCCCAGCTGTCTGCATTCCACAAGGCAGCAGCCCCGTTTTCTCTCCCCTAGCCATGTAATGCTCCTCTCTGCCATTCCCCCCACCCCCAATCAAGCTGTCAAGAACCCAGATGTGCCCCACCTTGCGACTCCCTAGTGCCAACATCCTACTGCAAATACCTCTTGGGTCAGGTCAGAGTGAGGATGACCGTCCTTGGACCAAGCCATTTCCATTGACTGTAGAAGAGTAATGGTATTTTTAGAACCAAAAGGACTAGCATCTATTGCTCTGCTATCATAGGTCCAGTATCTGCCAAAAAGCCACAGGCTCCATCCACTGGACATCCATTAACTTCCACTAAGTGTCTTTTCAGATGTCTGTCATATTCTTTTAATTGACAGAAAATATCAGGCCAGCATGTCAGCATCCTGGATTCAAAGCCAACAGTCGGTGCCAGGACTGTACAGCAGACGATGCATGTTTAAAGACCCGAAAAGACCTTCACAAAGGAAGGCCTAGCGATTAGAGATCAGATGTTCTGATTGCCATTCATCTGCGCATCCTGCCCATCCCGCTCCAAAACGCGACGTTGATCGATGCTGCTCTCTGCGCGTCACCCGGTTCCCTCTCGTTGGTGGGTTGTCTCGTCAGTCGGTGAGCCGAGCCAGACGTTTTAGGGATCCAGGCTGTTTCATTACCGGCATTCGCCAGCGTGTAGCGATGCTGAAAATAACCAGCACCAAATGATCTGTCCTAATTAAGCCCTTGAGCAGTGCCGCCTGGCAGAAACGCTCAGCCGCTGTTGAGATGAGGAGGACTGGGCTCAAGAGCCACCCAGGCTCCTGCAGAACAACTCTGCCAAAGCAACTTGATCTCAGCCATGGCATCATAATCTGTAATCCCCTCCCTTGCTCCGCCCCTCTGTAACGTCCCTTCTTCACCAGTGTAGTAGTGCCTGATTTTGATGCCAAAATTGGTGGGGGGCTATGGGGAGGGGGGCTACTCCAGAAAGTTCAAATGGAATACATTTAATCAGCATCTACCAGCAGCCACTAAAATGAAACACGGGATTGGGTTTTGCCCTTGCTTGGTCTATTCACCGGTACAGCTTGAGGTGTAGAGCTGCACGTCATGCTGATTAAGCTGCGGGCTGTATATGTGCAGACATTACAGTTCAGTTATGTTGGTAACACCAGACATGAAGTAGATGAACATTCATGTGGGAATATCAAAAAAATAAATGTATATTGTTGTTATCCTATGTGATGCAGCCCAGGATAAGTGGCTGAGAGATGGATGAATTCGATGCTGTGTAATCATTTAGCTACTCTTCAGAGGCATAAAGGTAGTAGGGTTCACATAGTAGATATTCCTTGCCAAGTGTCTGACATGCATATAATACCAGGTTGTCTCCACGTTATCTTATTTTTCCCAGAAAACCCTCCTGCGGCACAGTCTCTGGGAGGGCCGGTCAGGCTCTGGGGTCCTTCTTCAAGGAAGCGACGTCTTTTTCAGTGGCAATAGGGTTCAGTGGCAATGTGACATTATTAAAAACTGCTATTAGAGTGGAGGCTGAGACAGGAAAGCAGGGTTGCCAACTCTCACGCTTCTGCTGTGACACTCTTTCAGACTCTCGCACACAAGCAAGAAATCGTACGGCAAATCTATATTATTCCATTATAAACCTAAAATGAGCTACATCAAAAGCACTGGGGTAGTTTGCGAACCCTACAGACTATCTACAAGGAATAAAACTGTTATACAAGTAAATGTGTGTGCAGACTTGTCTCAAACTGAAAATCTCACACCAGCCACCTGGCCAAAGTTGACAACCCTGGGAACGGCTTTCACTTTCTAGGGTGTTCAGATCACTGAAGGCCAGAATGGCACATCATGCCAATGTATATATACAGCAGGAAATAAGAGACAGGCAGAAGTAATTAGCAGGCTAACCTGTGGTTTCCAGGCCCTCCTGAGATTCCACACTCACTTTCTCATCCCCCATCAGATACCTGCTGTGGGCTGAAAGGGATTTATTTGGTTCTTATCAACAGACAAGAACATTCGTTCATACAATAGCCTTACTCAAGATCAAAGATAGGCATTGCTGGAATTTTTAAAAATTACAATTTGGCATTAAAGCTGACTGCTGAAGGCAGATATATGTAGTCTTACATTGTGTTTTTTACACATGGTTGTATTGTCACCAGCTGTGAACAATATCCATTAGCCTGCATTTGGTTGAACCTTTCTGAGTATCAAGGATTTCATAGCTACTCAATCTTTTTGCACAATAAGTTCCACAGTCGGTTTAAAAACTGTCAAATCCAAAAGACTCTCCTGGCCTGTTTTGATTGGCTTCCAGGGCCAGTGAGGTACAGCTGCAAATTACCAGAGTAACTGCACCAGGAAGAGAACTGTCACACCTTTGAGCTCGTTTTCACATGAACGGAATCTGTCATGCCGATGGCGAGGCCTTCAGTGTCGGCCTGTTAGGGAGAGAACTGCCAACCTACACTTACGGTCCGTTGTCTCCAAGGAGAGCACTCGGTAAGGCGAATAATCCCAGTGGAGTCTCTCTCTATGTAATAATCTGGCAATATGGTGCCCTGTTCCAGAGATGGGTTTCTAAGCAACGCGAGGCTTGGTGTGTTCGTCGAAACCTGAAAGGGACAGATGTAGAGCTCATGGCGAGCCTTGTATCATGAACATGAGGAGAATAACCAGGGTTGCCAGCTCTCATGCATCTGGCAAGACACACATGTTTTCAGACTCTCACGGTCATGCAAAAAAATCCTGCCCCAAATGTATATTATTCCATTATAAACCTAAAATTAGCTACATCAAAAGCACTGAGGTAGTTGGCAAGCCGTACAGATTATTTACAAGGTAATAAAGCTGTTACGCAAATGTAAATGAGTGTGCATGTGTGTGCAGACTTCTCTCGAATTGAAAATCTCACCAGCCAGCTGATCAAAGTTGGGCAACACAAAGGATAACCGTGAAGAGGAAGAAGAGGAAGATGGGTAGAAGGTCATGTAGAGGGGCCATGAGGAAGATTGGCATTGACTCACACAAGATTACTTTATTGAATTAAAAAAAAAATACAATAAAATACATGACCAACCAAACAACTTCAATAATTTAACAAGAGAATTGAATACCTCATAACATGACAGTGACAGTAATGAGACAATGGGCAAAAAACAACAAAAAAACAAATAAAATACAAAAAAGGATATATTTAGACAATTTGGATTCAGTTTCCAAAAAGGTTTCAGGTTAGAGTCAAAGACATTAAAGTATTAAAGTTCAGTCACCTGGCATGGTAACGTGATGGAATGTCATCTTTGGTCCGGGGGTATTCCAAGGTCATTCCACATGAAACAGTATTAATACCCAGCAGAAAGATGCA